GTCCTGGAAGATCATTGCTTTTGAAACTTAAATTAACCCCAGTATTCTTTGAGCCAAAAGGCTGTTACCTCTTTGTCTTCTTAACAAACTTGCCTTCTTGAATGGAAGAAACTTATGTTTAAGAGCCACAGAGAATCTGCGTGGTAAATTATACATGTGATAACACTCTATCAGGGCAAGGATTATGATCTCCATTTCTAGAAATGCATTTGGAACTCAAAGAGGGTCAAAACTCCCCATGACCATGCCTATGGTTTGGTTCTGGGTTGAGTGTGTTGCTCCCAAGGGTCCGTGTGCTGAAAACTCACTCACTACTGTAGCAATGTTGAGAGGGTGGAACCTTTGAAAAAGGATCTAGCTTCAATTTTAAAAATATTAATACAGTAAAAGATACATGGGTAATAATCTCCCTCAGAACACTTCCCTTGACTTCAAACACACTTACCCCATCATTCTTGCTGCTATTTCAAGCAGTTCTGGAGTCCATTTTTGTGAATATCTTTAAGACACGTGATCAAAAATGCGATGCTAAGTGCCATCAAATGGAAAGGCAGGCTCCTGAAAACATCAGTGTGTCCTCATCCATCCTATTCACTAGATGTGGCACTGTGTGACTTCTGGCTCTTCTCCAAAATCAAAATGACCATGAAGGTTAAAAACATTTAGACTGGGTTCCAGGGCAGGGGATAGCACATTGGACTTCTAAAATAGGTTCAAGAGACAGGCAGCCGAGGCAGCATAAGTAAAGACACTTCTGAAAGAACACACCCAGATCTGCTTCAGAAAGCAGCATGAATGATGAGATAAAATATGATTAAAGTGAGGAGGAGGATTTAAAAGGGGATTAATGTCAACATGGTTTTTGCAGTAATAACTTTATTTTTAAATTTAAATATTCATTGTATAGTTTCATCATACCTCATAAAGCCATGAACCATATGTCAAAGAATAACACCAGGTTATAACTAACAAACAGTCAGGAATAGCCCATCTATGTTCTTCTTTACAGGAGTGGGTAAGTACTAGCTAGCTCTGTCCCCCCAGCCACATGAGTCTACCAGTGTGTTGTCCATGGCTGTGACCTGAGCCTGTAATATGATACAGGTGCTAAGCTGCCTTTTCAGAATGGTTTTGGGGAAGTTTGAGAAATGATTAAGTAGTTGTATGCTAAGTATATGCAGAGTTATGCCATTGTCCTGACGAGAGAATGAAAAGTATCCAGAATCAAAATGAAATAAACCATTTGCAAGTAGTAATTATTTTTAGGATGCTGGAACTTGAGCGAGGGCTCCATATGCTAAGCTTCTATTCTGCCACTGAGCTATACCTGCAGCCCCTTGCAGGTAGATTTTAGAAACAATAACCTCTCTGATGTGTGCATTGCCATTGCAAATGTCAACTTTTAGAATTGGGGGTAAACTCTGTAGTGGCAATATTAGTACAAACTCTGCAGGAGCAGAGTGACACCGTGGCTAATTGGGTATTCTTCCAAAATGAAGGAATCTATTAGTATGAGGCAAATGTGTGCTTGGGATTGGCCACAGTGCTCTCACTTCTCAGGATTCTATCCATCCAACTGCTGTTGCCCCACCCAGTGAGTTAAAAGTTGTAACATTCACATTTATAGACATTATATATTTACAATATGCACGACATAGTAGAACAAGGCTTTGTGTCAAAGTTATATCAAACATATGTTTTAGCATAGCAATGTGCACTGTGTCCTTATGGCCCAACCTAAGTCTGATTTCGGGAATGTCTGAAACTTTCAGGAGCTGTCAGTTAACCTAGACCAGTAATGTGAATCTTTCAGTGCTTTCAATGGTAATGAACAGCTGGCTGCGACTCATGTGCCGTAGGTTTGCCATCACTGACCTAGACATGCCTTAAAGCTTTTGGACTCTAGTGGAAAAAAAAAAAAAAAAAAAAAGAGAAAACTTTGAAATTTCTGATGCATTTTGGTCATTAGCATTTAGAGATTTTAGATGACTGGGATGCAAAGTAAAATCTTTGTTAGAAGCTATTCATGAATGGAGATGAGCTAAAGAGATGGCAGAAATTTTTTCTTATTTACAAAAGCAAGGGCATAAATAGCGCAGAATTACCTCTGCAGTCAAATGCTATGTATGCCTTAATTTTTAAATTCTGAAAAATCAATTATGAACTTATACTTTAGATTTTGTCAAAGCAGTGGGGAAAATATTTTGAATTTTTAATAGGCTACAAATACATTCTGCCTAGGAATGGAAAGAAAATGAAAAGCCATTGATTGTTCGGAGTGAATTTTGTTAAATGTTTAAACAAATCAGAGACATCTTATGTGTCATGAAAACAGCTTGAAAGACAAATTTCGTATGAATGGGTACAAAAATATAATGCTCTTAATAGTATCACAGCAAAATGTACATATTTTAATAGTTAAAATAGAGAATCAAGAATATTTTCTATGTATTACATTTCTGTGTGAGTTTTCATGCTACTAATTTCTTTAAGAGGAAGTATTTCTTAATTATGGTCCACAGTGGACTCGATTAAGATGACAATTTAATGACCATTGAGTGCAACACTGAAGCTGATTAAGAACAATTTTATGAAATATTAGAAGTGAAAAGATGACATTAGAATGTATTTCTTTTGGTGAGGCAATCCTGACAGAGGATTATAGAATGAGAAAACAAACTAAGACTTCTGAATATATATCATTTGTGATTATTGGTTATATACATTTCAATGTACACAAAATATGTTCTTGATCTGGAAAAATATATTTATGAAAATAAGCAATGTACACAAAATATGTTCTTGATCTGGAAAAATATATTTATGAAAATAAGCTGAAAAACTTTTATAGTTCCACTATTTGGAGAAGATGAAGTTTTCAGCTGATACGTATTTCAAACATTATATTATTTTGATTAATTTTACTCTGAAAAATATACACGTCTGATGGTTATTTTATTCTTGATGGGTATTGTGGGGTTTTTTAGCCTAATGTTTGGATACTAAATATTCAACTTGAAACACACGATTCATAAAAAACTAAAAAGACTGTGAGAATCACTTATTAGTTTGTGTACTAGCTGTGCTTTCTGCACGACCAGAACTTCAGTACAGTGTTTGATTTTTTTCATAGGGGAAAAAAAAAAAACCACACAGTTGAAGTAGGAGGTTTTTATGAAACTGAGCTACATGGAAATTTAAGTCATTTTTCCATGAAATTGTTTTGACCTAAACTTGAGGCTGCTGAAAGGAAGAAGCCACTTTTGCCCTCTGGGCCACATTCCCCAGTGCCTTCAAGTGTCCCTTTATAAACACGGGTGCTGACGTGGTAGACAGAGATGGGTTTTCACCATTGTGCCCTTTGATAGATGTCAGTGGATTGCTGAGCATGAATTAGGTCACTGGCAGCATAGCTAATTTTTTAACACCAACTGCTAGAAGAGTCATAGTGATGAAAAATAAGAATTTTAAATGAGGGTACAAGTAGGAATGTTTTGCAGGTTTGATGTAAGAAGAAACAATGGGCCTGTTTTTCCTTCTCCCTTATTAAACAGTTAAAGGGTATTGAATGATTGGATAAGTGTGTAGACCAGTGGGTAAGAAGCTTCTGAAACCATCTGAGCGTCCTTCAGTACAGGGGTGGAGGCAGACTTTCTCCCTGATCTAGGAGTCAAAAACCTCATAAGCAAGGGAAGACACAGAAGGGAAGTTTGTGCTTTTTCACAGGTCCACCTTCCTGGTGGATTTATGAGTGTTCTCTGCAGGATGGTACACGCTCCTTCTCTCCGTCCATGGCCCCAGCTGGATGGAGCAGGGAATACAACATAAAATGATTGTTTTTTTTCTCTTTTACAGCACAGAGGGTATTGTGGGAATGCCCTGCTAAATTTGGAAGCATTAGCTGAATAAGGCAGTGCAATTCTAATCCATGTAAAGCTCGAGATGGGAAAGAAGTTTCAGAGGGGTGCTTGAGGTTTTAGGTTTCATCTGGCAGATGTAGTAGTGACTGGAGTGACAGAGACAGGCAGGAGTCACCACAACACTGACTAGATTTAAGATATAGTGAAATTCTTAAGGAGGCGGGCATATCATCAGAATATAAGAGACAGTGTGCAGTTATCACTTTCTGAAGAATTTTTTCCTCAGGCATTTGAATATGTTTTGGTATATTTATATAATTAGTAACTAGCATGGTAAAACACATTTAAGATATTTTAAGCAGGGTATGGTAGTGGTTACACAGTCTGTGATCCTAGAACCCTGGTAGGCTGAGGCAGGAGGATTGCACCTTTGAACCCAGCCTGGGCAACTTAGCAAAGTAGCAATGCCCTGTCCCAAAATTATAAACAAGAGTTGAGGTTTAAGCTCTGTGGAAAGGGCCTGGGTTCGTTTCCCAATGGTACCAAAAAAATCTATATGCAAAGTAAAGGGTAATCTCTTTTAGACAACGGAATTCCATTGTACATATAGAGCTAGAGACTGAGGAGGATGAATGTGTATTTGCTTCCAACTTCATGAAGAGATCACGGCCACTTCTCTGGTATCCTTCTACCTAGGGAATCACACAGGTGGGCTGCTCCCAGCAGTACGTGATCCCATTGCTCCCTCTGCAGTGGCTTGCTCTGTTTTGGAGGTGGGTGCAAAATGGTGATTAAAATGTTCCTCAGGCCTGCAACATGTTGAAACCCGGATTTAAAATACAGCAGAATTTGACTAAGACGCCACAGTCCTGGGAAGCATATTATGTGTATCTCTAACATATCATGTTGTTGCCTGCTGGAGCATTTCTGAAGTTCGCAGGGGCATCTACCCATCACCTCCTGCTTCTTCACGGATGGGTGGACCAAGCATCTTTGTTTTTTGCAGTGATAAACTTTCATATTGTGAATGTATAATTCGTCATTTAAAGTCACGCTACTGATAAAAATCCATGGTGTCATTTCTATGATCAAATGATCAAATGAAGTTGCTGAGATAAATCTTGCTTTTGTGTTTCCTAGGAATCTGAGAAAAAGGGGCTAATTGAGAGATTCTACATGGTACAGGATATTGTGTCAACTGTTCAAAACATCCTAGAGGAAGTAGCTTCTTTTGGAGAAAGAATTAAAAAGTAAGTCCTGAATGTGTGCTGCGGTGTCTGAAGTGGACCTGCTCCTCACAAAGATGTTGGGGGAGAGGTGGGAGCAGAGAATCCACAATAAAATCAAAATGAAAGGTGGCATTTGATAAGCCAGGTTTGAAGCTTCACAGTCGGGTGGTGCCTCGGAGCTGGGGAACGCATGGCTCAGTTTACAGTTGTCCTGACATAACTATTGATAGTGTCCTCTCTCACTCTCAAAAATATCCTGATTTAGGTGATGAACTATAGATTAAAAAATAGATTCTGTATTCAAAATTTAGAAAGCAAGCAAATGAATTCTAAAGGAGCCTTTTTTGTTTGAATCTCAGTACACGCTAAAGGCCTTGGTGAATGCTTTTCTCAGTTCTCTAAAAAATATTGCATAGCTAACAGTGTCCCACATGGGGAGACATGAAGTTGTCTCAGCATGGATGTCTTAGGACAGGGCTTGACAAACATTCTGTGGTGAGTCAGAGAGTGAATATTTTCATCCTGTTAGGCCTATGGACTTGTATCAGCTCTGTTGTTTTAAGGATAAAAAGTCACAGCTGATATGCAAATGAATGAGTGTAATATGTATTGAATGAATCACTTATGAAGTGGGGTGGGTGGCACAGGCCTATAATCCTACCTCTCTGGGAGACTGAGCAGAAGAGTATCAGTCTGACCACAGCCTGTATGGCTTAGCAACTTAGACCCTGTTTTAAAGGATAAAAATGGGCTGGGCATGTAGCTTCAAGTGAGGGCCGTAGGTTCAATCTCTAGCACCACAAACAAACAAAAAACTATCTATGGAACAAGAGTCATGCTGGACTTTACTCAAATGCAATCCATAATTTGCGTCATTCTACCTTTGGGCGTAGAGGTTAACTTATTTAATGGTACCCAAGATAAGAATAACTCTGTGATTTATGTTTTTTGTTTATTTGTTTGTTTTCTTTGCACATTTTAAATCTGCATAACTTGGTCATCACTTGATACCAGTGCACAAAGAGGACTTAACCATTCCTTTTGGGTTATAAATAGATTTCTTTCATTTAATCCAGAGTTGTGCCTAGTATGTCTAAGAATTAAAACTTACTTTAATGGCCAGTGTATGGGGGTCATTCTAATTTCATTAAAGAAGATATTGTTTTTGAAGCTGTGTGGGGAAGGAGGAGATTAAAATTAGTGCTAAAAGCCAGTTGAAAGTCTTCTACATCAAAATGCAGGGCATCCCATAAAAGATGATTAACATTAGGCAATATAAATTAAGATGCAACTCTGAATGCTATTCTTTTGCAGCTGCAGTTCAAGCTAATCGCACTGAACGCCCTTGTTCCAGCAGCATTGCAAACATGATTTTTTTTACAAAAGGCTAAAAACCACCTCTAAATAAATTTGCTAAGTGCTAACTGAATTTACACATTATTTCCTTTGTTAACACTTTAAGAGAGGGAAATTTAAAGGAAGGCAGGGCTTTTCTACATGTGTTAAATCCTATCTGCTTTATTCTTCATGAATTCCATCTAATTGACAAAATGATTCCTGAATTTACCTTCAAAAATGTATTTGACCAAAATATATTTGACAGCAATAAATAGAAGAGAGTTGCATTTGCACATTTGTTTTCTTATTCAGTTATCAGTTATACAGCTTTAGGCACTAACTTGATCTAAACATACGAAATGCATCCATGATAAATAACAATAGCAACGTCCACTAATGCAATGTGGCCTGGGCACTGTGTTGAGTCCTTGCCCATAGGAACTGCTTTGAGGAGTTGCCTAAGGGAGCTGGATTAAATCATTCCAACAAGGCGATGTAGTAAGAGTTGTTAATAACCTCATTTTACAGATGAGGATCCTGAAGCACAAGGTGATTAAATTTCTACTCCATGATGACAGCTAATAAGCTGTGTAGCTTGGAGTGGAGCCTGTCCTCTTCACTCTTACACTGCCATGCAATTTTCCTCTACGAACTTGTTTTCACTGAGGACAAATAAATGACAGCCAACTAGAATTCAGTAGCACGAGTTCAAAGTAGTGATCAGATAGGATGCTAGGGAAAGTCTGACCAGCCTAGGAAAGGATATCAGAGAGAGACAGACAGAGGGCAAGCCTGAAAAAGCCACAGCACATCAGCATCTGTAAGAACCAGAAAAGACGGCAAGGCAGAGGCTGGAGGAATGGCTGACTCCGCAGGTCTGAGCCCTTGTGCAAAGACTGAAAGCCGAAGACCATGAGGCAGATTCAGGAAGACATGGGAGATTTAGTATGTCTGTACCACAGGTGGTGGAAGTGGCAATGGCAGGAGATGAGGACATTATTCAGGGATTGGAGGGGATGGAAAAGTCAATGCTGAAAAAAAGAGAAGAGTGGAGGATGTCAAGAGGATGTGGAGAGGGGGCAAGGAAGGAAGATCATGCTCGGTTCGACTGTCTCCCATCTTAAATGTCTCTAGAACACAAACGTAGCTGTTGTACAGTTGATAATGTTAGAGGAAATGTGTCTGATGAGAGAGGAGGGCAGAGTGATTTAAACAGCTCTCAGCTCTACGGGGCTTCTGAGGGGCAGCTGTGCCCGGCACAGCTGGGGTGGACATATCTGAGGCGGATTTCAGCTCATGAACAGAGTACTGTTCTGCCCAGCTGCAACACAGGAAGGCTCCTGAGGCTCAACTCCTATTAATTCTTTGGCCATTCATTATTTCACTGACCTTAAAGTCCCTGCTGGGCATTCAAGTGTGATTTCATGTGTGACTCTATTGGAATTCTATTGTAATTCAGTGCTTAAGAACCAGGAAAACTTTTACCCAACTTTTTACAACCAGCAAATAAATAGACTTCCACAAAAGTCTTAGAGGAAACCTTCCTTGCTACTGAGTGGGAAACCCCTCCTGGTGTAGCATATACATGGGACAAGCTGGATTTCCTTTTCCCTACTCTGCCTTCTTTAATCCCCATCTCTAATATTACACAAATGTAAATATCAGACTGAAGCATTTACTGTGTGCAGCATTTATGTTGTAGTAGACAGTGTGGGTAGAAGATGATGCCTGTTGTATCTTCCATAATTATGGGGTAATGTGTCCCAGGCTGTGTGTCCATGAGTGCCTCCACAAATCTCCATGGAGATGAGGTTAAGGGAGACTTAGGAGGACTTGGAAATCATTCCTGCAGATGTTCCTGACAAAAAGCTAGAAGGTGTATTCATATGAAGTGGAACAATCCTGGCTCACAAGTGATGTTAAGAAATTCTAAACAATCCAGCTGAGAAGTTGGGTGAGGTAGAGCTGGAATGGCAGGGAAGATGTTAGATTGATGCATTTTGTGTTTAATCTGGGGGAAGCCTGTTAAAAAGGAGTAAGAGTGAAAGCAGAAAGACTAAGGAGAAGACCAGAGGCCAGGTGTGAGGAGTCGTTCGTCAACTAGCGAGGACCACTGAGGTGTGTAGGAGAGTGAATGTTAGAAGGCACTGCAGAGGAAAAAAGGACAGCACTTTATGATCAGTTCTTTCTGTTTTGTTTCCATGGGAAGAGACAGAGGACTTCATTTGTCTTGGCCTAAAACATGAGGGCAATAATGAATTCTTTGACACAAAATTCAGTGTAGTGGGACAGCCAGTTGAGGAAGGACCTAGAGAGAGGCCCTGGACCCATCTTATTCGATGTGAGTGCAGTCCTCTTGGCTAAGTGTCTGACATGTAGATCACCTTATCTTTGCATGTTGGTGAGCCCCATGGTTGAAAGAGTGGAAGGGATTCTTGAATTTTTCATTAAGAAGTTTAGCTAATGTGTTTTATGATGACACAAGACAAAGGGTTTTAGAATCTAGGGAGCTCCCATGTTAGGAAAATTGGTAAAGTCTTTGAAAATATTTTACAAATTCTTTGACTGTAAGATGGGAAGGTACAGACTCACCATAAATCTCTCTCTCTCTCTTTTTTTATCATCGTAGATCTTTACGCATGGGTGTTCTATGAAAGACCCATACCACAGATGCTTCCTGATAAATGGGAAGAAAGTCCAATAAGTTTTTTGAGTGTTACAGGCATTACTATTAGTGTGTGAAAGAAGTTATCATTTAAATAAGAACACTCAACTGGGTTGAATAAGTATCATGCTTTAAATACTTAAGGTAAAAGCAGTGAACAGAGGCTTCTGAGGAAAAGTTTTTAGCTTAAGTTCCGGTTCTGTCCCATGCTAGAAGTAATCTTGGACAACTGAATTAACTGTTATGACTCAGAGCCCTCATGTGTAGCATGGGGATGACGATAACAACAACTACTACCTAACATTTTTAGGAGGAGTAAGTGAATGGGTACATAAAAACCAGGGCATGACATATGATAATCCCTTAAAATATTGGGTCTTGTATTTGATAAATTGTATTTCTTCTTCTACATTTTCAATCTAGTGAAATCATTTCAAAAGTAAGGTTGTGGGAGCTTAGAAAAAAATTCATTAGACCATGGAGTTGGCTGTTGGGGAGGAAAATAAAACAGGTTGAGAGTGAGTCTGGGGCCCATCTGAATTCTAACCTTCAACGCAAATGCACACCTTACACTTGCTCACACACACAAACAACTAGTGGGGCTTTTCTTATGGTTGCATCAATTGGAAGACAATGGCTATTTTGACAGAGTTCCAGCATCTGAACTCGGTGTCTTCATCATTTTTGATCATTTCTATCTCCATTTTATGTTAGGCTTTTCTATGTAGAAGTCCAATACTTTTTGCAAGATAGCTATCTTCCATCTTTATGTACCTTCTGATGTGGTGCCTTCTGAAATTTTTAAAGGTGTGAAGAAATTGGCATTGACTTGTTTTGGAACTCAGGGAGATCTTTGTGAATCCAGCAAAACCTACAAACTGACAGGAAAAAGTGATAAATGTAATAATGTAAAAATATTTTATATTTAAAAATGATAAGCCAGATAAAGAATAACACGGCTGTCTTAGTACTTCTCCATGCTGAGACACACAACACTGCACACCTACTACTTGAAGACAGAGAGGTCTAATTGGGCACACATTTTGAAGATGAAGACCAATGAGGAAGTGCTCTGACACACGTGAATTCCCAGTAGGACCCTGGATTTCCAGGACTACCCAGGCTGTGCAGTGCATTCAGCTCCACCTTCTGTGCTCTGGTCTCCATTTTCTTTTTTTTGGAGGGGGGGGATTTTTTTTGTTTTTTGTTTTTTTCCAGTACCAGGGATCGAACTCATGACCTTGTGCTTTCGAGGCAGGTGCTGTGCTGCTGAGCTAAATCCCCAGCCCGTAGTCTCCATTTTCACACGAGTGAACACGGGCAATGGATCCGGCCACTCTCTTCTGACAGCCTCCTCATTCATGATTTTCAAGTAAACCAATCAGTTTGGCAGAATTTTCTCAAGATTTTTTTAACTGACACACAATGATACACGTATAGTCACCACTGATAGTATGATATCTCAAATGCACAAATTCAATGAACATTATCTCTAAATGTTTAAAGAAACTTTTAGCAGGTTTTTTATTAATGTATGAACCGGAAACACCCTAGATGTGGTGATGACACTGTGGAGGTTGCTGAGCCCCAGGGGAAATGACACTTTGGTCTTTGTCCACAGCACGTTTAACTGGACAGTCCCTTTCCTTTCCTTGCTGGCCTGTTTGGTTCTGGCGGTGGCTACCATCGTTCTGTACTTGATTCCGTTGCGGTACATCATTTTAATCTGGGGTAAGTTTGACATGGTCCTTTGGCTGGCCATCAATTCCAGGTAAGAACCAATTACTCACTTTTAAAGTGTAACTGTAAACTTTGAACATGCTCTTACTGGCAATTAAACATGAGATTAAGGAAAGTATTTTGGGAACAGAAACTTACAAGACCTTCCTGAAATGGCCAGTTGCTTGAACGATCAGCATGGATATTTATAGGTCTCTTGATTAATTGTGATCAAATAAAAATGCAATTGTGCATTCCATTTCCCTCTGGACCTTCCCAGCTATAAATTCCCTTAAATAATGTATGGCTGTGGCCCAGGAATTGTCCGGAAACACTGCAGTTCAAACATTGAGCAAAACACCTGCATCTTGCCCTTTATAAAAGGTAAAAGATCTGGCCAGTGCTAGGCTGCTCCCGACACTTCATCTTTCCTTCAGGAAAAAGTAACTTAATCTCATTTTTAAATCCAGAAGCAGTAGGGAGGGAGAAAGAGGGGCTAGGGGGTAGCCTGTGATTACCTATCCAATGCCAGAAAGGAGAGGAAGCTGTTATTTACCAGGGGAAATGGGGTGCTCGTGTAAAATTTAGCTGCTATTAAAAAAGGGACAAACAAACATGGAAAACTTGAAATGAATTTAATGACTTGATTTACTGCTTACACTAGGAATTGGGCAAAGCATAAGCAGCTTTGTGAATATTTGTGTCTGTCTCTGGGTGGGCTTTAGGTTGATATAAGGGGAGTGCACTGCAGAATTTCATTGGATAAGCAGGCAGCCTTTCTCCTGGGACTGCAAAGTTCTCTCTCTACCATCGCTTTAAGGTTCTACACGATGTTCAGAGAACTCACAAAGATGAAAGTTTGCACTGCGTGCATCTTTAATATGCAGTGGAGAGGCCACAGATGCTTGGTAAAACCTACAACTTCTCCAAATATTCTAGGAATCTTTATGATTCCTAGAATCATAAAGAGAGACCACAAAGGTAGAGCTCCACTGATACAGATAGCCAAAGTCAGGGATGGGAAAATTAGAAAGACTCACAAAAACACAAAAATTGGAAGATTTTGAGAGTATAACCCAGTCGTTCTCTGTGATATTTAGGAATAAAAATATTAAACTTTTCTCCTTTGTAGCAAGTCCAGGAACAGGAAAAAAAAAGTCTAACCTCCTCCTCCTCAGGAATGTGATTTAATACTCGTTAGAGTCTCATACCCTGCTTCAAGCTGTCTGTGTGGTTTGTTGAGTTGGCAGCAATACGTGCACTTTGGGCCTTAGGGAAGAGCACGGGCCTGTGTAAGGGCACACTGATTGAGAAGGTGGATTTTGCAAAAGTGCTTCCCTGAATACTTTACATACTGCATATTTTCTGTGTAAATTGGATAATCTGATTTGTTTTACAATTATTTCATAAGTGTTATTTTCCAAATCCAATTACAGATTACATTTAGACCATGAATATTGAATTTGCTGTCTGTCCCTAACCAGATATGAATCAAAATTCTTTAGCTTAGGCTTTGTTCATTTTTAAGTTCATATAAGTTGAACATGCTGTGATCAGCTGTTAAACCCTGGTGAACACTTGATTTGTTTCTTGGATCCTTCCCACCACAGGAAAGGCTAATATGGTTGTCTCTTGGTTGCCTCAGAGACTGGGTCCAAGAGCTCCTGAGGATGCTCAAGTCTCAAACAATGGCACAGTATTGATATATTACCTATCTACAACTCCCCCTGTATTTTAAATCATCCCATGATGACTTATAATACTATGATGGAAATGCAGTTTAAGTAGCTCTTATACTGTATTTTTTCTAAATTAATGACAAGAAAAATCCTATATGTTCAATAATGTTTTCCAAATATCTTTGGTTGGTAAAATCTGAGGATGTGGTACCCATAGATACAGATGGCCTATTGTATCATTTTTCTTCCTTTGATTGTTAATGTGGGAATGCAAACCCTGTTTTTGTTTACCCAAATTGCTTTGAATTCTGATCTTAGCCTCTAAGATACTGGCAGCTTTCCAACAACTGCTGGCATCTACTTATTGAAGCATTTTTCTATTTTTCAGTTTATGGATGAAATTATTAAGCAGTTTGGAGTTTGTCGTGCTCTCTTGGGCAGATAGTGACTCTTTACACTTTCGTTCTGCATTCTAGACAGGTGTTCATAGTTCATTGATTAGTCTACTAGAGATAATGTCCTCAAAAGCCTTGCCAATCAACATGCGATCTATTGCTACTTCTTATCATGCATATCCTGTTGTTCAAGCGAGGAAAATATTCCAGAACTCTATCTTGACTTACTCTTTATAAGTTATTAGCTAATATACCCCATTCTTTTGCATATGTTTTATATGCTTATATCCTCTGCAGCAATTTCCTCAGATAAAAATACAATTTTATGTATTAAATAAATTTTATGTATTATTTTAAGTTTCAAAAGACTGCCTTATTCTGTTACTCATTTTTACTGAGTCATACACATTGAGAAATCAAACCATTTAAAATGTGTTCTAAAAGATTGAAAACATTCAACTATATGTACTAGATTTCTTTAGTCCATACATCCAAATAGTATTTTTCTATGTGTTTCAAGTATTAATATTATGTGATGTAAGCACAAGTGCCCAATTTCATAAGGGCTTTAGGAAATATTTCTGGACTCACCCAGTTCATTGTAAGGATTTGATGAGTGACATACTTGTTACTTCCTGTAATTCCTCTATGGCTTCATAAAGATGAGAGATCTTTAATTAGTAGTTGCAAACTATTTTGTGAGTGAGCCTTTAAATTCAATATCTAGGATCTATGCAGATGACATTTTATTGGATCATTACTTCTCTTGTGTGGGAGGGATATCTGAAGTTTTCTTCAGGGTGTATTATCTACTGAAACTTCGTCACCTATTTTGATGGGAGCATTTCTTAGGCTATGACTTCATTCATGTTTTCTATTCTTTTCAAGAATTTCCCCATAGTCCTTCTATTCTGTTCTTCTTCATACAATTTCCCAGTTCTGTTTCCAGCCTCATCACTTTTTACAAGATATATATGAATTTCCTAAGCTAAAGTTTGAGTGTTTTGCAAGAAGGAACCAGGACTTATTTAACTTTGTAGCTCCATTTGATGGCATTGTATCTCTTCCAGCCAAGGCCTTTAAAGTTTCGCAAATGACCAAGCAAGTGTTCTTTGCTTCAGACCTGCCCAGTGTTGAGCAGGGAGCATCCTTGTTAAAAATATCTGAAAAATAGTGGTATTTTGTTTCAAGTAGTTATTCTCAAGTTCCCAGCTGTGTAACAAATACCACCATGCAGCTTCCCATTGCTTCTGATTTTCTCCAAGTGATCTTTCTTCTATTGGTAGGCTCATTCCATCCCTCTGATCCAGTCAATCTGTGGCCTGGGACCATTTAGCAATAGTGTCTTCCCCAAATATTATCCCTGGATTAGCTGTCATCTGGCCACCTCCCCCACCCAGCTAATGAAATTTATAGCAGATAGACCCCTCTATCTGTATTGTTTAGTATAAAAATATCTCTAACACTCTACTGGAGAAAAACCACAGCTTCCAAATCTGGGCTGGTGATCACATGTGTGATACTATAGAGCCATACTCCTCTCCGGCCCTGTTGTCTTTCTCAGTTACTGACTTCTACAGCAATGGTGTCCATAGGCCTCTACAGGACTGTGAGATCACAGAACCCTTTTGCCTACAGTAGTACTGTGATTCTCCCATTAACCCCCCAAACTATGTAGGGCAGATCTTTAGTATTAAAAATTCCTTATAAAAAATTGAGCCAGAGGAAGGTGAACTGCTTTGCCTGAAATCACAAAGGCAATACATTATGCAGCTGGCCTCGAGGCCCAGGTATCCCTGCACCTAATGATCATTACATCACCCCATGGACCCTTGAAGATGACCAAAGCACCTGTGATCTTCTGTTGACCCTTGATCTTACATTAGATAGTACAATGGAATTATTGAAAGATTCAAGACTGAGATACCTTTACAAATAAGGTGTGCTTTTGAAGCATGGAATCATGAATGCTTAGTAATTTTTATTTTAACTTTTTCAAACACAGGCAGTCTCAGGGCATTGTGGACTACTTCTGCCTTTATTGGTGCATTTGAGCTACTGTGCAGGTTTATAATCTTCTCAGTGACTAAGAATGTAGTGTTTTGATCGGCTGTGATATTATCCCTGCCTTGCTGCTCATTGTAAAGGCTCCAGATGCGAACACTATATATAATTAACAATAGAAGATATATCTTTTCTCAATACGTCTTTGTTTCCCTTCATCATTTTGCCTTGTCTGTTTTCTTTTGCCAAAAAGCCCATGCTACAATTAAATGTCTTTAGAATAACACAGTCAGAGTATTTTAGTTTAAAGCAATGCGGGGGGGAGTCATAGTTAGAGACATGGAGCTTGCTGTGGGGGTAAAAGGAAGAAAGGCAGAGTGCAGCTTTGACTTAAGGGAATGGTGATCATTTGCTGGGACCCTTCCTCAGCCCAGCCACCAAGCCCCCATTTGCTCACGCACAATGGCTGGCTCCATTTGCAAAGCAGATGTAAATCTGACCCCCCAAAGAAAGGACTGGAGGTTGGCATTGTGTCAGGTATAATGCCATGCAGGAAGTCCAGTCCTTAGATGAAAGCAAAGTAATATGTAATGAACAAAAGAAAACATCAAACCTTTTATGTGTTGGGGACTGTTGAGCTTGGCTTCTGAGTAGGAGCCATTCAGAGCACAACTAAACTAAGAATTCATTCACCATCATTGGGACTGACAGGCCTTCAGATAGGATCCTTGTTAAACAAGCACCCTGTGGCAAGACTTCAGAAGGCCACCTACTCTTTCTGCTTCTAAAACTCAACATGAAAAAAGGGTTGACATTCGGTGAAAAACTACAGCTTCTGAGCTCTGGATATAGGCACAGTGGCTCCAAGGAGCAGAGGAGAAGACAAAAGATGTTCGGGAGGAACTCCCCTCTGAAGATGTGCCCAGGGCACGTACCTCCTGAGCAAACCCAGGAACCCAACATGCAGCCACCGCAGATGGATCTCTGCAGTGCGTTGACATCTTAAATGTTGAGTCCTGTTCTAATTACCACTATCCCGATCTGAAATTAGCATGTACTCCATTGCCCAGACAAACCCACATGTCAATGTTGTGGTCCATATATAATTTTCCAATAATAACTTTTCACAGTTTCCTGAGGCATCGAAAGCAAAATCAACATGTCAGGTTCTGTTCTGCGGGGAGAGAGGAGGATCCTGTGAAAATGAGTTGGAGGTGGGGAGAGAGATCTCTGCAGTTTCTAACAACAGAAAACTCTCCTCCCATCTCCCACAGCTACACTGGGTCGAGAGCTTCCAAGCAGGGACTTGTTTGGGCTAATGAAGGCCTTTTCCCATTTGGGACGTTTGTTTTCAAAGCAGAAGCGGCTGTTAATCAGTGTATTCCAAAAAAGCCAATGATCTCCCCAGTTTGAGCGTGTGTTCTGCTGCCCTGCTGCTGGGATTGTAATGGGATTTTCACAGCTGAGGAAGGCAGCACCCCTCTTCCACAGCTCACCCGCCTTCCTTCAGGAAGAAGCATTTGTGAATGATTCCTCCTGACAGCAACATGTGCATGACTTGAAGTCTAGTAATTGTTTTCACACTAATTTTTACTTGCGAAAACTCACCCTCCCCAAGTCACGCAAGATTTTAGATAAGTAGATGGAGGGATATAAAGAGAACTCTGGTGTTTCTATTTTGCAGGCATAAATAAATTTACTAAGAAGCTCCGAAATCCCTATTCCATCGACAATAATGAGCTACTAGACTTTCTCTCCAGGGTACCGTCAGATGTTCAAAAGGTAGGTAATGAATGGTCACCACCAACAGGGGCCCCAGCGTTGGGGTCTGGCCAGTCCTGGAGCTGGAGGAGCACAAGGCTGTGCTTGTGTGAGTAATTGAGATAAGGAATCAGAAAATCCCTAAAGAGGCCTGGCTTGCAGGGAGGTGGCAAAAGCCTTTGTCCCAAGCATGAGATGATTGGGGAAAATTATCCCGAAAAAGAACTACTTAAGAATGATCTGGAACTCACACTGTGCAGCTCCAACATGCTGGTGTTTGTCCCTTTTTTATTGCTTGCTTTCCTAAAGAGGATAAGACGGGCTCAGTGAGTGGAACTGCTTGAGATCCAAAGCTGAGGAGTGATGCTTATTTTCCTCCTCTTCCAGATGGCAGGCATTTTAGAGGAAGTGGGGGGTGGGGACAAGAGGATTATTCTTTTTATTCTCGTTTGCCCCAATTATCTTCCGGGCCTCCTTTCTATTACCTTTGCCCTAAAGACTTAGGGATGCTGAGGCCAAATCCCCCACTTACTCTAATGCCACACAGAGGAAGAGATGGCGTGAAATAATTTGAGATCAATCACAAGTATTATTCACAGGTAATGGTCACTTAGTCCAGCAGTGTCTTGTTTCTGTGGGTACACAGAGATTAATGAAGCCAGCCATAGCAGAGAGTCCCAAAGAATAGCCAATTTGGGCCCCTGCAGATTAGCCTGCTATAAATCCAGAGGAAGGAGGGCAGGTGGTGGTTTCTCTGATGGAGAGTAGTGATTGCTGAATAGGTAGACCATGGCACGAAGTGTCATCAGAACGATCAAAGGCATAATCCTTTCTTACCTAAGAGAATCCCAAACCAAGTACTGATTCTCATCATTGGACCACTGTAACAGAACTGGGCCTCTCCATCCCAGGTGCAGAGACATAGGACTCTAAGCCTCAGACTCCCTTTTCCCTTTATTCCAAGTTCTAGAGATTAAAATGGCGTTTAGGACGTTGTTTCTCTTTCACCTTCATTTTCTGATATAATTAACAGTTAAAGTATATTCCATAAAGAGGAATTTACTCCTTAATATTTGCATCACAAAATTAAAATATCAGCTGGCCTCTCTTTCTGGAACGAAGAGTGGCAAGTATGCTGTCCTCGCTTCCCCCAAGGGACCTTCATGAAACAGTAGAAGGAAAGAATTCTTTCTTTTCCTTTTCATTTATCTGCTTTTGGCAAAGTGCAGACTAACTTGTGATTGGGCATTATGTCCTTGGGGAGTGTGGCATAAATGCTAAAAATAGTGCACACATGTGGTCTGTAATATAATAGCTTAAATGAAGCCTTTCCCCTGCCAGCCTATCAAAGCGCACACACACCAAAGCAATATGTTTGCAATGTACCATCACTTGGGTCGCAGTGTGAGTTCAGGCTGTATCCTTGAAGAACAGACATTTCCATCAAGCCCCCCCAAGGATTGTCTGTGCATAGTCTAGCCACCAGCCCTCGAAGTGGTCATCCAGTTGGAGCTGGCATGAATACAGAGAAATACAACAAAAGAGCATTTGGGGAAGATCTGCATTTTGCTAGTAAGATCCTCGTGTCTGCCAAGGGCGCTTTCTAATAACACAATGACAGTGTACCGCCGGGACTCCCTGGGTGCTCATATTTATCACAGATGTTTTAGTCATTCCATTGTAAATGAAATTAATTTTTAAGAAAAAGCTATATAAGTCTGGGGCCCAGTATCACTTTCAGCATTTTTTTTATCTCTTAGGCAAAATAAATGTCTCTAATTGCCTGAGTGTTTTTTCAGTAAGATTTTAGATATTTTTAAATGAATAATTCTCAATAAGCTGCTACATTACATACTAAGGTAAACATTCCCAAGAGGAACTTATTAAGCTTCCTTTTGGTGGAACACTGGTGCACAGAAAACTAAGATCAGCGGGCAGTGCTTCGAGCAGGTAGAAACCTATGCATCTCATTAGAAAAATCTGCTTTTAATATTTTGGTTTCAAGAAATGATGCATGACTTCTCAAATCCTTCCTGCAATTAATCCCTCCATGTTCCTGTGTTTGGAAAATGATTCATTACTTTTGAACCTTCCTTCCTTTGCCTGGGTTTGTCCTTGGGGAGCCATTAACACACTCTGTGGTGAGCTAGGGTTACCAAACCGCCAGCGTCACGTCTGTTTGTTTTCACAGGTGCAGTACTCCGAATTGAAACCCTGCAGCAGCCACAGCCCACTTCGGAAGAAGCGCACCACACTAGGTCCACACTGACTTTCAACCCAGCACCCTGTATTGTGCGGTTGATTAGACCAACATCATAACGGCTTCAGTGGTACCCATGGTGTCCTGAAATGCGTGCGGTATGGAGCTCACTCTGTATTCTCCCCACTTCTTCTTCTGGTGCACAGATGCACGAACACCTGCACACACAGCTCTACACAGGATTCCTAGTTGCACAGACTGTCAGCCCAGCAAAAAGAACCAACCCAAAACTGTGAAAAACTCCCATCCATTCGCCAAGAGGAAATGAAGCAAGGCTTCCATGGGATGTGGCTGAATATCTTTCTAGAGAACCGCTAGGAGACCACGTGGCTTCGAGATTGACTTTGTGCTTCTTTTCACACCTCCCACAGACTCTAATTAAGATGCAGTCATTTCCATTCTCCACCCACACACTCCTCTCAGATTGTTGTTTCAGTAAGTTTCTTCTGAGTTAACAACTCTTTGGTGGCTGTGGTCTGTCCAGATCATATGTATTAGAGGAAGATTTTAATGGTTGTCAGAATTAACCCAAATCTTTAGAAGTTTTTCAGCTGTGGTCACAGAGGATATGTATGTGAGTTTTTAGTGATGTTTGGTGCTGACTGCAGCCTACATCATGGTCCATTGCTGGCAATGGATGTCCCAAGGGATCCCTCTTTGAAAGAGTAAGGGTTTCATGAAAGTATTCAGTTGCTTTAAAACACCATTTCTTTTGACTTATTGTTTGCTTATTTCAAAAATAAAATATCAGTATATAGCTTCAGAAGGCAGACAGGGAGGAGAATGAATTCATTCAAATAGTTAAAATTATGGTAAGCTAGAAATTAATAATGGGGCTACTTGCCTAAGTATCATAATCATTTCATTTGCCCAAATGTTTTGAGCAGAAAGTTAAAATAGTTTGGCCATCCAAATTTATATTTTATCTTCAGGTCAAAACTTAGCTATATACAATAAAAAAAAAAAACAACTGTTTTAGGACCAAATTCTTAGAGAAATACCACACACCTTTATAGACTACAATGCCACAGTATTCTCCCATCAAGTAAAAATTTTTATTTGTGCCTATATAAAATGTTTGAAACTATCTTTCTGTTCAAATGATATTTAAGCTTTACAGACTGTATTTCATGGACACATACTTCGTATGTGCAGTTTTATATATGTATATGTATTGTAAAGACAAGGTAAAAATACCTAATTTAATAGTTTACTATGTTTTTTGTCTCTGGGTTGTAACTTAATTATCTTCAAACAAAATGTTTATGAAAAATGCCAAAGATTCTAAACCTTATCATCTTGTGTCTGTTTTTCTTCATATTGTATCTTCTTGGGTTTCTTTCTGGCTGAGCCAGATTTCTGCATGATTTGATTTACTTCAAGTTAATGAAGCTGGCTGGAAAAGAGCTTTGCAGAAATTATAAAAGCTCCAGTAAATCCCATAGTTGTACATACAATAGATACCCAAGAACCTCTTTTGTTAAACCAGTTACTCAATCTTCTGTGTAAACAATGCCTCATTGTCTTGCTCCTAACTATCATCCAGTTTATCATAGTCTGTCATTTTGTAACGACCTAAAGCAGACATTTTTAAGCAGACATGTGAGATCTGATCAGTCATTCGAATGAAAACTTCAGGAGCAAAATAACCCCTTATTTACTTAAAAGTGGAACTGATACTTTATTGTTGTTCTTTTGCTGTAGAATTGCAAAATGAAATTTTTCCCTACAGAAGACACCATTAGACTTCTTTCTTCTGTGGCCCGACTGGAATTTATAGCATTGAGTTTAGGACACAAATACCAGCTGGAATGCCAGAGCAAGGCCAGTTCGGCCTTTAACAGACTGTAGATGGAAAACAATTGTTAATTGATTAAATAGACACTGCATGTTAAAAATTAATGCTAGTTGTAAGTTACACGTTTAGATTATGAAAGTATAAAAGTGCCCCCTTCCTTAGGGGTCACTGTTTTAAGACTCCTAGTGAATACCAGAAAACTTGGATAGCACTAAATTTTGTAATTTAAAGTCTTTTATGTCTTATCTCAGCATTTATCAAGTACTGTGACTTTAACTTTTGCAGTTTGGGGTACAACAGCAAAAGTAGCATGGATTTATTTTTTCCTCTCTCAATTGCACGTATAGAAAACCAATTCTTATACCAGATTTTAGCAATCTCAGCATAGGACTTTTCTTATTGGGAATATTTACATTTTCAATTCAAGATAGCACTTTATGTCTTCTCTTGGCACATTAAAACTCCCGCCATTATTGTGCTTTTACTTTGGGTCAATAGTGAGAAAGAAAGACTTACTTGTATACAATCACTGCAATACAGTGACAGGTAATGTCATAACTGAGATGGCTCCTATAGGACTTATAGGCAGGCAGCATATACAGATTGGATACGCTGGACAAAGGGATGATTCTCAGCCTATACAACATAGGATTCAACAGCACAAGATTTCATCATGGTATTCAGAATGGTGTAAAACTTAAAACCTGTGGATCTTTTCTTCCTAGAATTTTCCATGTAATAATTTCACATCCTGACTCACTGAGGCTAATTAAAATGCACAGAAAGTAAAACTATAGCTAAATGGGGGCAGAGAGAGAATTAGTATTATCAGAAACATTGGAAAAATTCTATAGTGCTTTAGATAAAATTTACGGGTTAGATTTATAGTGTGATAATGCAAAGTAACTAAGAATGTCAAAATCTTGCCAAGTTTTCTTTGTTCTTATCTCAAACTTCATATACTCATTTCAAGCAATGTCCAAGTATCTTATAGGTATCTGCACTGCTGCAGATGGGAAAGTATATGTCACTTCTCTTTCTGCCTGCAGGACCTTTACTTCCATATTATAGCCTTCAAGTATCCCATTTTCCATATTGGCATGGGTGTCTTCTAGACTGGAACCTTCTCAAGCACCCCATTTTTATTCTTTGTGGTTTGCCCCCTCATCTCTCACCCCATAAAATCAAGTAGACCAACTGTTGCTATGTTTCTTCCCTTATCTACTTCTGTTCAGATGACCAATTCCACGATGAGCCTCTGTATTCTTTTACCAGTCATGGCCGTGATGCCAATTATATCATGCCAGATTAATCCTCATTCCGATTATCCTTTTCACTTGGAATGTATTTTCCCTCACTTTCTACCTAAATTCTACTGTCTTTCAAAACTTCTAGAAGTCGCTGGATGAGAGTTCACCTTGTCTTTGATGTGCTCCCATCTTATATATCTGTCTTGGTCTGTTTTCTGTTGCTGTTGTTGAATGCTACCGAATTGTAAATTTATAAAGCAATTTAATATTTACTTATGGTTATGGAAGTCCAAGAGCCCACTGCTGACTTTGGCTCTGGAGAAGGCCTTCTTACTGCAGCTTAACATTTCAGAGGTCCTCCTCTGTCAGACAGAACAAGCATGCCAACCCTTCTCTCCCTCCTCCTGTTCTTCCTCCTACTGCTCATCTTTTCCTCCTCCTATTCTTCCCCATCCTGTTTTCCTTCCTCCTCCTCTTCCTGATAAAACTGTTATTGCCCTGATGGGGTAACACCATCATAAACTCATCTAATCCTAACTACTGTTTAAATTTTCTACCCCCAAATACCATTAACTTATGACTTCAAGGATGTTTCCAACAAATGAATTCTGAAGGATACATTAAGCCACAGAAAAATCTTTCTGCCGTATTTGCCATATTCTGTAGTAACTCAGTTCCAGAGTCCTTGATTCCTCTTCTTCCCTATTGGTCATCTTATCCCAGCTGTCACAGATACTCAGGAATCACATATCCAACAGACCGGTTCATAGGTCTTTTCTTTCTGTGCCTTTTCTCTGCTGTTATTAGAAAAAGTTCTGAGTCAGATAGATTAGTGTGGTCTGATCTGGAGAGTAATTCTTTGTATCAAGTAGAAAGCTGATTTTCTGTGATATCATTTATGATCTCTGGCGATCCCAATTTTAAATTAAGCAATGTCTTCTATTTGAAGAAGTTCTTTCCTACGTGTCAGAAGAAAAGATATTCATGTGTAGGTGGTAAAACAAATTTTTGATTCTGTTTTGTTTACTTGTAACTTAAGATGTTACAAGCATATTGAACACTGATGATATCCCTGCATATAATAGCCTTTTGGAATGGGCTGACATTAAACAGATACTTTCAAGCAATGGCAAGATTTAAGTTTCAAGAAGAAGATCACTCTAGCTACGCTGGGTAGATTAAGAATTAATGTTTCTAATAATGATATTCTGAAGTCTAATTTTTTTTTTTTTTTGGTATTGGCACTTGCCAGGTAGGCACTGTGCAACTGAGCTATATTCCAGGCCTTTGGAGTTTAAATAAAGGTACCAAAAAAAAAAAAAAAAAAAAAAAGAAAGAAAGAAAGAAAAGTATCTCCAAGTCTAGAAAGATGGCATTGCCTTTTACCTCTTAGAAGCAGTCTTGGAATGAACTGGTGGAGTAATTTTTAAAAGTGTTGAATTTGAGGGACCCAAGAGGTCTCCAAATGGTAATATTAAACAGGGATAAACATGAATATGGCATCCCAAAAGGATACTGTACCTGCAGAGATACATTTAAAGGACAACACTAAAACGTGAAGATACATACTTCAAAAAGTGAACTTTGAACTCATCACTCAAAGTCATACAGGTAAAGATGAGTTGGTTAAGGAGAACACAAAAGAAAGAGTAAATGAGAAGAAGCAAACAGAAAAAAAATCAGTAAGTGTTGTTTTAGAATTCAATGAACTGGGTTTCAAGAATAGAGGTGTGCTTAATACACCAAATTCAAGTGAGAGCACATAAGTTGAGTATAGAGTCATAACCTTAATGACATAGTTTTAGGAACTCTGACAATGAGTCATTTCAGTCGTGACAGGAATGTTAACCATGTTTTTCTGAATGTAAAAAAAATAAAGCGCCCATGCAATGAAGGTAACTTGAAAAGTCTTCCATGAGAAAGAGAGAAAAGGCGGTGGTTAGGAATGAAAGAAGGTCTGTGGGACTGGTGAGTAAGAGGAACTGCATGTGTCATGAAGTCAGTGTCCCCTTTATCTTCAAAGAATTCCTCATGGGTTTGAGTGAAGTTAGCCACATTCATCATTTAAACTTGTGCTGTCTAAGCTCACTTTCTTTAATGTAATAATAATTTTATGGCAACAGAATAAAATATCTTCTGAAAATGTTGAGTAGTCTATTGATAATTGAATAAAAGCTGAAATTCTGAAGGTGACTTCTAAAGGCATTGCTTAAAGCATGTTACCTGTCTGAATAAAGCCTGCTGTTCATTCTTGGCATCATAATGTAATGATTTGTGTGGTGATAATGGATGTTCCAAGACATAAAAAATGTTAATATTTTATAGCACTTATCAAATTCTACCTACTGTCTAAGTGCTTTAGATGTGAGAGCCTACCTAATAATAACAATCAAAATCTTTGGAATTCCTCCAAAAATTCAAAGGGGGAAACCAGTCTTACACAAATTCTCCTAGAAACTAGCAAAACTGAGATTACTTTCTTGTACATACTATGGGGCCAATATAGGGCTCATTTCAAAACCCAACATAGGGCTGGGGATTTAGCTCAGGGGCACAGCACCTGCCTGGCAAGCGCAAGGTTGTGAGTTCAATTCCCGGTACCAGAAAAAAAACAAAAAACAAACAAACAAAAAAACCCAACATAGTCAAAAAAGAATCTATCTTACCAACACAGATTTACAGTTATGAAAAGTATACAAGACTCTAAACTAAAATCATAGAAAAATAATTAATGAATTCATAAAATGCAAAATGAATGTGTCAATGGATTGAATGTAATCCTGATTTTTAAAATTATTGGAAATTTTAGCAGGGATTGATCAGATAATTCTATTATATAAAATGCAAAACTCCAAGAATACCAGAAGCACTACTGTAGAAAAGGTAACTACTAACAGATATAAGGTGAATTATAAAGCCACTGTAACAAAGAAAATGTGACATTGGTGTAAGAATAGACTGATCCCAGACAGATCAAAGACGTTGAAAATGGTGCAAGTGACAGAACTCTCATATATCTTCTAACCTGTAACCTGATTTATATCAAACATAACATAGTTGGAGCATGTAGGAAAAAGATTATTTTGTAAAACTGTGCTGGGTTATTTTAATATTCACATGGATCAAATAAATATCAATTGCCTCCTTTTACTACAGCCAAATATCAATTCAATATGAGCGGCAGGTCCAAAAGTGGAAGATGAAGATTTCAGAAAGAAACAAGAGAATGTCTTTATACCTGTGTGA